TGTTAGGATCATTTGAGGTTCTGTATACTGAAGCACATTCTGGAAACTCTGAAGAGCCATCGAAATGGAAGCCGCTGGAGGCACTGTTACCGTAACCCTTGAGTGTTGAGGCAAGGTCAAAAGCACATGTGATGCCATCCTTGTCATTTCAGATTATGCATTTTAATAAACACATCCATTTCCCTTAGGATGCGCAGTGGGTTATAAATGAGAACATCTGAGTCCTCTGCAATGTTTGCGCAACTAAACATGTGCCTGGGGTCACCAGGCTCTGCCAGGGGACTACTGGGGTCAGGGCTCCTATCCCTGGGAAGTTGAGCACTGCCCCAGCCAGGCCCCATTAGACACCTACGGGGAGGGCAGGGGGAGCGAGCATTCTCTCCTGGCATCAGCTCCCACTAGCTCCACTCCTGCTCTGTAGGGAACCTGCTACTTCACTGGGGTTCAAGTTTAGGGGAGAAACAAGATAAAGCAGGACACCATCGGCAGCTTGGGTTCTCGTTTCTTCAAACCAACACAGCCTAAATAAAACTCTGGACCTGCCGCCAAATCAGGGTTTGGGGCCAAAGCTACCCCGTAATAAAGAGTTAGTTTTCCCCATTTTGTTTTCTGTGCATTTATTTCCCCACATTTCAGTAAGGGTGCTGCGCCCGGGGGAGGTGCAGATGCTGCTGCATTTCCCGACACTCCTCGGCATCTCCAGCATACGAAGCGGGGGCAAGCACCGCTGGACCAGAGAAATCCTGTGTCAGGGAGAAGAGCCCAAAGGCAGCTTGCTTCTCCACTCTCTCACGTGGAAAAATTCCGCAATTCTGAGGACCTGCTTGACCACGTGGTGATTATGGCCTCATCCAGGTTTTCCCTGTTAGAAAATCTATTTTCACACTTGGTACACTGTTCCCCTGAGTCCAAAATCAGAAGGAAACGGAGATGATCTGTCTGTAGATTTTACTTTTTGGAAAATGAGGGAGTTAAAACTGAGGCAAGTATCAATCAATCCGTCAATCAAAAACTAAGGCAAGGGCTGGGAAAAGGAACGCCCTCATCTCATTCACGAACTGTACCCCGCCTTTTCTTCCCATGCAGTCAGAGAACTTACTTTACTCTCCAGAATGATTCTTAGCTCATGTTCACCAAGTGCCCTCTCAAATCAGGGAGAGGGGGCCGAGGCGTGGGAGGGCCACATGAAGGAGGACAAGAGCATCCCCGGCCTCCCTGTGGCACAGGTGTCACACCACAGGGCCCTCTCATCCATCCTGGGGAGCGGCAAGCCCAAGTGGTCGGCCTCATGGCTCAGGAGCCCTCTGACACCGGCCTCTGCTCACTGGGAAGCAAGCAGTCGTCAGCGCCTTGCAAATCTGATCAAGCTTGGGGCTCTGCAGGTGCTCTCTGAACCTGAACTGCAGAAGTTCAGTTTTCTGAACCTGAAGGAGGCCCCCTCTGAACCCCAGACAGAAGAAACGAAGTCAGTCAGGGCTGGTTCTGGGTGAGCCCAAGCAGCTTCCTCATATACATAATCAGCGACCATCTATCTGCTTTCTTTACCGATAAAGCCACTGGCCCAATGCCATGCCAACAGACCAGGTAAACACCTTCTGTACTCCCGCAGAGAACGTTCTATTACAAGTGAACCCTCTTTAGGAATATCTGTTTCATTCTGTTGACAGATGTCACGTTTAAACAATTATCCGCTTTTATAACTGATAGGTACCCGAGATGAAATCCCATTACAAGGAATTTCAAGAAATTCTGCTCTGTATTTACAAAGAAAAGGGTCTCAGTAAAAACAAAGCAGGAAAGACAAGTGCAAGCTGCCACGGGAATTCTGCCACTGTTTGATCTGTGTTTGTTAATCACGGAAACAGAGTTCTCAGGGATCCCAGCCTGACTGCTTGGAGGATTCTTGTGAAAACCACTAGAGTCCTGGGGTTCACTGCTGCCATTCTGCAACTCATACTCTGCGGGAGACAACAGGGTACCAAGTTTCCTGTGGGTCATAATAGGGACAAGAAGATATAGTATAGATGGGAATGAGAAGGAGATGAAATCAGGGTGGGATATAAATGTTTTTAATCTGAAAATGGTACTAATGTCTCAGGGAGGAAAGAAATGGATTCCAGGAATAGAATTTTAGTTAGGGATCTTCACCCAGCTAATCAGGTCATCCTGGAAAAGCCCTTCCCTTTAACACGCAGCAATGCCCACCGTCCACCATAACAGATCTCAATGGTAACGATTCCTGTACCCGAGACACACGCAGTAACTATTTCTTCATTCCGGGATATAAATGAAGGAACAAATGAATGACCATCTACACTATCCTGCTTGTTTCATAGAAGAGGAAATTAACAACCAGAGAAATTAAATGCCTACCCAGCAAGGCACAGCTAATTAAGCCTTAAAAGGGGCAGGAAACAAAGCTCCTGATGACTAGCTGATGCTGATAAAGACCTTTATGGGAACAGAATGGGGGTGGGGGTGGGGGGAACAAACGTGTGTGTTATGCAATTTGGTGTTACGGTGTAATTTCAATTATCTAGAAATGGCTGGGAAAGGAACACTATTTCACAGCTAAATGTTCAGTTTTCAAAGATTATTACATTTTCGTTTTACCACTTTTGGGTGATGGCCCTCTAATCTCTGCTGCTGAGGACAGTACCTTCAGGAATCTCCTTACGCCCTCCTGCCGGGGGGGCCTTACTCCCCAGTGTCACTAAGTCTTGCTTTAATAACCTGCTGGTGGCAGTTTGCTTCCTTGTCATCGGCCTTCTTCACATCACAGAGGATGCAGAACAGGACAGGTAAGTAAGCTCGGCTAACTAGGTGTTGAGAACTCAGTGTTTTTCTGAAGTACCGAATCTGAGGCAGAACCTGGCCTCCTCCGAAGCTGACTTCTCTTTTTCAACAAAGCTCTCATCGTCCTCTGGGTCACTCAAAACTGGGGAAGCTTTCCCGACGGCTTGTGCATTTCCGAGCTGGCTTCAGCCCAGTCCTTCCACTGGCCTCGCAGAGAAGCAAGCACTGCCATCCTTTGGGTTCTTAAAGCCATGAAACCTCCAAAGACATGAAAGCCATGTGGCAACAGCACAACTGGAGACCCACGCAGAGCTGTGTCTCCCAGGCCATGGCCTGTGGCACTGGCTCTTTGCTGCTGTCGACCAGATGAGAGTGGTAGCTCCACCATCACAGCACAGGCTGGACCCATCGCAAAGCACACCTGCTCACATGCTCGCCCTTACAATAGAGTAGTGTCTAGCGCGGGGGGCATTTCAAAAACCTTGACTGCAATCTGCCACTTTGGGTGACGGGTGCAAGACATCAGACCTTCCATTTCTTCAACTGTAAAGCGAGAAACACCTCCTGCCCTGACCACCTCCCCATGACTCTGCTGTAGAGTAAGTAGATGGAATCAAAAGAGAAAACGTAGATGAACCCATCCTGAAAACGCTCATATTTTTACTGTCATTCATGGAAAACAGCCCTCGATCCACCCTCTCACGAAGGGTATTTCTGAAAGACCACCCACTAAAAGGAAATTAGAGAAGCCACCCCTTAACTATGAACATGTCTACACACACAGCTAACAGAGGCTACACAAACACTTCACTTAATCCCTACCTTACAGATGAAGAGGCGGAGGCTGAGAAATACTGAGTTACGCACTGAGATTATTAACCTCATCTCCCCGACAAACGTCAGGTCCTGAACTCACATTTTGTCATGTCTCTGCACCCCCTAAACACAGCCCTAAGCAAGCAAGACGCAGGACAGATGAATAATCACTCAGCTGACAAGGCAAAAATGCCCAACAGTGGTGCAGGCGAGACAGATTCCTGTCACATCTAAGCGATGCTGGCCCTGCATCTCTACTTCCCATTGGATCCAGAAAGACAAGGAGTAGTTCAGTGCACAGCCGTGGAGGAAGAAAAATGAGAAGCTTTCCTCTGCCTCAATCACTTACTGGCAGCACTGGTTTTCTGCCATTTGTAGACGGGGATGCTCGACCTTCTAGGGTCTCTGTGAGTCCCAATGGAAGTATGATCTCGAGCAAAGAATCTGGTTAAGAACTCACAGAAAACGGCCATCACCTCTCCCAACCTTATGCTCTTTGCTCCACTCTCCTTTTCTTTCATCTTTTCTTACTTCCTTCCCCCCACCCCATGCTAATCCAATTACTCATCAAGTTCTCTCAATCCTACTCCCTGCAGTATTTCTTTATCTACCCACACATTTTTGTACTTATATCCTCCGAGTTACATTGCCATGATCACCTTTTAGTCCCTCGTTACCTTTGGCCAGGTAATTGCCTACAATTACAGCCTGTCAATGTGTTTCCTCTTCTTTAAATCATTTCCCTTTATGAAATCCTCTTAATTGATGCCAACTTAATCTTTTCAGAATGTAACTCCAATTAAGTCACCTCCCTGTTGAAAAACCACTGAGCACTCTCCACAGCCAACTTATTTATACTTTTCTCTCTCACATTCAACGCTTTTGTTCCTGTTTTGTGGGCTACGTGTCCTCCCCCACAATGTTAACAGTCGAGGGGGGAAAAAAATCAGTCTAGTTCACAATACATATGCATGTACTTGATTTCACATACTGGGTAACACTTTCCTTTCTTCACTATCTCTGCCTGCTAAAATCACAACAGTAAGTTGATCACAACAGCGTCTTCACAAAATCATCTTGACCATCTCTGTTTAGATGTGACGTCTTCCTCTTCCAGTTCCTACGTCTGCCGCTCTTATGGAATTTATCATCAGCTCCGCAAACGTAAGAACATGTATCCTCATCTTAACAATTTATTTGTCTAGGACACACTTGATTGGACTGTGTTACACCAATGACTGCTAAGTGCCTGGTACTTAAAGAAGCATCCAAAACTAGCTTCGCCACCAGCTCCGCAGCCTTCATCTTCTCAACATAGGATCGATTCTACGTTTCACCCAAAGCTTTGGATTTTAGCTTTTTTAACCCAAATTCAACAGCGGGCCTACCATGTCCATTGTGAACATGCTTGTGGGCTTTTCCTTTCCTGGGGGTCGACTGGCATGAAGATGAAGCATTGTTGGTGGCTGTTTTGACGTCTTCTGTCTCATCATCTTCCTCCTCGACGTCCTCCTCGTCCTGAGAGCTTCCGAAATATACCATGCTGTTGGGCAGCGCAGGAGAACCTAGTGGGTTTAAAAGAAGGTGCATAAACACAGGCCTGGATCCTCACCCCTTCCAGAGGCGCACTTCAAATGGAGCCATTCGTTAAGTTACAAACTGAAATCCTCATGACTGAGCAGATAAACAAAGCTATTTATCTCTACTGCCATTTTTAATTTATTTTTCAAACATGCCCCGGGAAATATAACTCCATCTGTGTCCTTTTAACAGATTTCAAGCAAAATCCCCCAGCTGGGGGATGATGCCATTCACCAAACATGACAAAGGAAAATTTTAAAAATCTCATTTGAATAGTTCCTAAGAAGGGAAGGAAAAAACCACCAAGGACTGAACTGAGCAAGAAAAATTAATAAAATTTTTTTTTTTTAAATCTACCCACGGCGTCAAGGACAAGAGACTATTCTGGGTTGTGTCTTTAACTTTCTAGACTTAAAAAGTATGAATCTGAGCTAACGAATTTAAAATGAAAGAAGAGACAATCAGAAGCAAGTAGTGAAAACAAAATATGACATTTCCTTATAGAAGGCAACTATCTCCTATTCATATGGGGTGAATGACAGGGATGGGTTCCCAAAAACCACAATATATGTCGAAGCTACTTTGATATGATGATCAGGTTAACAGCATGTAAGATTATTAAAATAAATTCCTGCATAACACTAACTGAAAGGCTGGTTTAAAAAAATAAAAAACCCTCTTCATACACATCCCTTACTCCTTTCACACCTTAACCTCCTCATCCCCAAATGGTTTTGTTTCTGAACATAAGACAGAACAAACACACCAGAAAATAAGCTCAATGTTACAAAGAAGCACAATACAGTTCTTCTTTATCAAATCAGGAATTTTCAGAAGGAGATCTGTCAATTACTTGGTATACTGTTTGGGACCGAAGGCTGTTCAAAATCCCTCAAATTAATTGATTAACTGATCAAAAATTTTTTAAGCCCCTGAGTTAATTTCTGGCCCCACGTCAAATCTTCTTTCCCACTAGGTATCTTGAGGAGAGCTACTATCAAGTAACGGAAGAACTAATAAATGTGAAGTTAATTTCTTCTCGACAGTCTCCTGTGAATCAGCTAACACTCCAGGAACACCAGTCAAGATTCAAGGAACCAGATTTGCGCTCCTTCCCAAATGGGGATCTCAGACTTCAACCACAATGGTTTAAACCATTCCTGTCCAACTGCGGGGCTGCGTGTTCTAACAAGGAGACGGACATGACTGAGTGGTATCACGGCACTCAAGTGGGAAACCCAAACCGCCCAGCTCCCAGAAACACAAGGGCAAAGACACTACCTTCCTCTTGCTGTCATCAATGACCTACCAATACTCAAAACCCTACAAGTTATGTGGGTCACACCACTGAACGGAAATGAAACTCCAAAGGGATGTATGTGACAAAAATTCTGTGGATAACAGAATTGGATACACTCTGACAAAAGCCATTTCCTTTGTTTTCTCCCCTTTGATCACTTCCAATTAGAAGCAGGCTCGCAACAGAAGGAAGGTCTGACACAGGCTTTGGGGAAAATCGTCTAATCAAATAGAAGTCAGAGATGAAGTTTTTCAAAAAAAAAAGAAGAAGGAGGATATCTGGCCGTATTTCCACTGGAACAATATATTTACCCTTGTACTAAGTGGTTTTACAATTGGTACAAGACTGAATAGAAAAAGAGGAGACACCACCCTTATTAGCTTCCTTCTTCAAAGTTTTCAGTTGGAACTTACCATCCACACAGATATACATAAGTACCTCCACAGCCAAATATACCCCTACCGTTAGACCCTTTCCTAAATCTAACTTTTTAAGTACTTAAGAAAAAGCAGGAGAAACCTTATTTCAGCACTCAAAAGAGGTTCTGAGTTAAAAAAAAAAAAAAAAAAAGAGAGAAAAAAAAGAGAGAAAAGGAAATTTACCATAAACTCCAACTCATTCTAGCATGTAACATGATACAAGGTAACACACTACATGCTGCCAGACAGACAGAGCTGGGGACTCAACACCCGGAAGTTACAGGCTCAGCCATTACATTTCCCTCTTCAGTAGAATGAGAAGGTTAAATAAATAAATCTCTTCAAGTTCCTTCGAGATCAAAATATTCACATCTAACTTCCTTTAAAGAAGAACCTTCCTACACACTATCATGGATGCACTGACCAGCGGCTGAAATCAGAAAATGGGTTAGTACTGTGAAGAGCAGGTTTTCGTGTAGACCCTGCAGTAACTTCCACAGCCCTCTCTGCCCTCTGTCGGAGGGAAGCAGGATTAAAGGCTATAATTCCAGGAAGTAAGCCATTACCCTCTTCACCTTCCTCTTTCCCGCCCCGCCCCCCACCTCAGGAGAAAAGGCAATAAACTGCAACAGAGGCCATTTGGGAGTAACTTCAAAAGGGGGAAAGTAAATCTATGTTTCAAACAGAATCAGGTAAAATCTACATGAAACACATGAGAAATAATTAACTGCCACCTACAGAATCTGTTGAGGAGTTTTTGAAACTCAAACCCAATGTATAAAGCATCACATTCCTTACATTCAAGATTCTGAGAATGGGGTCAACATTAAATTTATGTTCCAAAGAACTAAAATGGAGGGGATGTTAGGAGCTCAGTTCAGAATCCAAGTTTCATTAACATCTTAAAGACAGCATATGGGGTAATTTCTTCAACAAAAGCAGAAAACAACCAATCTTATGATCCACTTTTTAATATAGATTTACTTATTACTTATTTATTTTTGGCTGCGCTGGGTCTTAGCTGCGGCACACAGGATCTTCGTTGAGGCATGTGGGATCTTTTGTTGCGGCGCGCGGGCTTCTCTCTAGCTGTGGCGCATGGGTTCCAGATCGCATGGCCTCTGTAGTTTGTGGCACTGCGGGCTCTAGTTGAGGCTTGCGAGCTCAGGAGTTGTGGCCCGCGGGCTTAGCTGCCCCGCGGCATGTGGGATGTTAGTTCCCCGACCAAGGATCGAACCAGAGTCCCCTGCACTGTAAGGCTGATTCCTTACCACTGGACCACCAGGGAAGTCCCATGAATCCATTTCTTTAAACAGCTTCTCAGCAAATACAAACAAAGTGATGGAACCTGTTACATATTCTAAAAGACAGAGGCTAAGAGAAAAGTGAAACAGAAAACAGAAGACTAGTAAAAGGGGAGGTAGAGGTGTGTGTTTCCTGAGGGACTCACTCTCAAACCAAAACTTATAATAATACAAAATCTTTCTGACGGGACTGGCTCTGCAGTCAGAAGTGGGAAAGGACACAATTTCTCTAAGGATGGAGGCACAGGGGATAAAAGCAGAATGCTTTCACCCTGAAAGGTGACTTGGGTTCTCATCAGATGACTGACATGTTGGTCTGGACCTGAAGATCAAGCATCAACAAAATAAAAGGCCATGAAGATTCTCAAGCCAGATGGGGAATGGAGAGGCTCGTACAAAGAAGGGAGAGGGGAGAAGTGGAGGAAAAGGACCGATGCTCAATAATAAGGATCCTCAGGCGGAGAGGTCAGTTAATTACTAACAGAGGCAAGATGCCCTTGGTTCAAATATTAGGCTTGTGCCAGTTCTCCCCTCCGCAGGTGCCACTCATCATGGACAGCACTCTCCCCAAGCCTGGGTATGGCCTTACTATTCTCCAGGCTTTGTTCAAGAAGCCACTGCCAATCTATAACCTGCCCCGCAGTAGTGGCCTCATCAACTACAGCCTTCTCCCCCAGAAAAACCAGACCTCCAGAATTTTACTGGGGACCTGCATACCTGTACCTCTCATTAACCTTGTAGTCAAACTGAAGCAAGGAGAAAAGACTAAATCCAACAGAGTACAATGCTGCATATTCCAAAGCTCTGTCACCATGTAGCTACTGGAAATCCCTCTAAGACCCCGCTGACATGTCCATCTGCAAAGCCACGGAGAGGCCAAGCCAACATTCCAGATCAGGAGAAAGCACGGCACGAGGGGAAAGGCAGCAAAAACGGCTTCTTTCTTTCTTATTGACACAAAACCAGTAAGATCACCTCACATTTCATAATCAAGGTGACGGAGAAACACTGACTGTTGTCTGGTAATACCTAGAGAAAAGCCAAAGAAGAACCTCAAACACATAAAAGAAAACCAAAAGCATCTGAGAAGCCAAACTAGTCAAGACCTTCACATAGGGCATATTTATTTCTTCTTAGCCTGGCTACAAGCTCAATTATCTAATTCACAAATAAGTTTAGAGGAGGAGGAATCTGCTAGACACACACAAAAAAAGAAAAAGATGAAGGAAAGGATATTTTGAAGCCCTAAAATCAACCAGAAGTCTGTGCTGTTCATCACTGGTGTAAATTATCCCACATTCTTCAGTATAAAATGGGTGAACAGGAATATCAGATAATCAAATTGAGGCCGTGTGAACAGAAAGTTAAATTAACATTTCATATCTGAAAACAGAAGACTATACGTGTTTTTAGAATTTTTCGTTAAGAATAGTTGGCACCTTATAGATTCTCGCACGTAAGAGGTAAGCTTCCTCTCTAGAAAATTTATTAGGGAAACGTCTTCCCTCCAAATGTCAGATGAGGCAAACTTTTGAAAAGCTCATTGTGGGTTCAGCATTCAGAAAAACGGGCATGGATCTACGGGGACGAAAATAACCTTCCCTTTCTACAGCAGGGCTCTGCTGCAAAACACAGGCGAAGGAGGTGAAAACAAGGGGTCTGAGAAAGGAAGGGCTCTGCAGCCCCCACACCTGGTGTCCTCAGGTGGGCTCTCCCCATCAGAGGTGTAAGCCCCAATCGTGCAAGTCAGACGGGCTGCTGAGCACACAAAATCACACCATCTCGCTCCTTTACAAGCTCTATCGTTTTAAAGGAGGAATCAATGAAAAGTAAATGCTTTTAGTGTTTTAAGAGCGTTAAGGATTGCATAGGGTATGAGGGGGCGGGTAGTTATACGTGTGTATTTAGTATATACAGTTTTCTATTAAAATCGCAGGCAGATTTTTCTCTCCTGATTATTC